GCTGAAAATACATCCATGAATGTGGTGGAGTATACAGGGGATAGAGTTATGAAAACGTCTTAGACATAGCCAGGTAACTTGAGGGAATGGGTCTCCAGGCCTGGGGACACAGGATCATGGTTTTGGGGGAAACTAAGGTCAGTTGGTATGGCATGGTTCACTTTGATGAGTGGTGACTGGAATCTTAAAAGCTGGTGAGCAGCCATCTAATGTATAATTGTTGGTCTCTCCATGTCTGGAGGAAAGAGAAGTGATGAAAATCAGACACATGAAAACAATTAGTTCAACAGACCACACAAACATCAGTCTTCATGACTCTAAGATCAGAAGAACTAAATGATACACAACGACTACTACCAACTGCTCTGAGGGTGATTAAATTAGAAGATCCTGAATAGCGTAAATGAAAATGTGGGAAATCAAACCTCAAAATCAGGCTTACTGGTTAGATGGAGATTGGTGGAACCCCCGAAAATATCACCCTTAATCACCCTTCAGATCTGGAACAGAACTTATCCCCATGGTTCAATTTTCAGTCTGACAGTTCTATAAGGGAAACTTACAAGATCCATCCACCAAAGACTAATCAACCATTTGAGCTCAAAAGGGCAGCATTTACTTAAGGACAAGTTCAGAAGGATTAGGAAAGAGGGAGAAAGGGAGGCAGGAGGCACAGGGAAAATGTGAGATGAGTGATGTTGCATTGAGGAGATTGTAATCAATGATATGAAAGAAAACATACGAAATATTTCATGTAAAACTGATGATCTGCTCTGTAAACCTTCACCCAATTCACAGTAAAAAGCTTTAAAAATAAAACTAAATCTAAGTTATTGACTGCTGTTGCTGTTGTGTGCCATTAAGTCTGTTTTGATTGATAATGACCCTGTAGAGGGTTTCTGAGGCTCTAAATCTTTACAGGAGCAGAAAGCCTCATCGTTCTTCTGCGGAGCGACTGGTAGATTAGAACTACTGACGTTGTGATTAGCAGTCCAGCTCATAATCCACTATTCTACCAGTATTCCTTCGAATTACATTAGAAGGTTCGAAAAGAAAATTAGCATAGAATTTTAGCCTTGTAGGTATATTGATACATGTAAGATAGGCTTATGAAAATATTTTTGTTGTTAGAACTAACTGTTGTTGTTTGTTGTTATTGTTGTTAAGTGCTGTAGAGTCAGTTCCCACCCGTAGCAATCCTATATCGTGTTTCCAAGGAGCAGCTGGTGAGCTAGAACCACCAACCTTGTAGTTTAAACCAACCTTGCAGTCCAGCGAATTACCCCACAGCACCACACCAGGACTATTGTTAGGTGCCATCAAGTCAGCTCCAACTCCTAGCACAGCAGAATTAAACACTGCCCGGTGCTCACAATTGCTGTTGTGTCTGAGCTCATTGTTGCAGCCAAGGTGTGACTCCATCTCATTGGGAGTCTTCCTCTTTTTCGCTGATCTTCCACTTTATCAAATATGATGTCATTCTCCAGGGACTGGTCTCTCCTGATAACATGTCCAAAGTACGTGAGACGAACTCACTTCCAAGGAGCATTCTGGGCATACTCCTTCCAAGACAGATTTATTTGTTCTTCTGGCAGTCCGTGGTACTTTCAGTGTTCTTCACCAACACCACAATTCAATGCATCAATTCTTCCTTGGTCTCTCTTATTCATTGCCCAACTTTCACATGCATATGAGGTGATTGAAAATACCATGCCTTGGTCAGATGTACTGTAGTCTTCAAAGTGACGTCTTTGCTCTTTAAGACTTTAAAGGGGTCTTTTGAAATACATTTGCCCAATACAATATGTGGTTTTATATCTTGACTTCTGCTTTCATGAGTGTTAGTTGTTAATCCCAGTAAAATGAAATCTTTGACAACTTCAATTTCTTCTCAATTTATTCTGATGTTGTCTATTGGTTCAGCTGAGGATTTTAGTAACAATTTGGGATATTTAATAGATGCTCACTTTCAATTGAGCTGGCATAGGATTGAAATATTTTGAGGTGATCATTTTTTTTCTAACACAATTTTGTCTTCATGCTATCTATATTATAGCTGTTGTTAAGTGCCCTCGTGTCAGTTCTGACTCATATCAACCTTGTATTGA